CGCGCGAGCGCCGCGCCAAGGTCAAGGCCGAGAAGGCCGAGGCGCACGACGCGCGGCTCGCGACGGCCGTCGCGGCCTGGGACCCGCAGAAGCCGCCGGACGCCGTCGCGCCGCTCACGACGGGCGACGCGTACAAGACCTTGTTCGTCGCGCGGCTGTCCTACGACACGACGGAGAAGAAGCTCCGGCGCGAGTTCGAGCAGTTCGGCGCCATCAAGGCCCTGCGCGTCGTCCACGAGCGCGACCCGGACCACGAGCCCATGGAGGGCGACGACGACGCGCTGCACGCGGGCACGCCGCGGGGCTACGCGTTCGTCGAGTTCGAGCGCGAGTCCGACATGCGCGACGCCTACAAGCGCGCGGACGGCCGCAAGATCGACGGCCGCCGCGTGCTCGTCGACGTCGAGCGCGGGCGCACCGTGCGCAACTGGCGGCCGCGCAAGCTCGGCGGCGGCCTCGGGTCCACGCGGAAGCGCGGCGCGGCGCCGAACAACGGGTCGCGGCCGGGAGGGCAATTCCAGCCGTCGCGCGTCGTGTCGTCCAACGCGCCGGCCTACCGCCCGCCGCCGGCGCCGGTGCGCCAGGTCTCCACCGGCCCGCCCCGCCGCGACCGCTCCCGGTCCCGCGACCGCGGCCGCCACCGCGACGACGACCGCCGCCGCGACCGCTCCCGGTCCCGCGACCGCCGCCGCTGAACTCCTCCTCGCGGGGGTGCGTGGTGGTGCTCTAAAGATAGCTGCCCGCAATGCTGCGTAAACGCCGCGTTGGCTAAGTGTTGAATTTGCGTTCCGCAACTTTGTGTGCAACACCGGCCTCCCCACCCGTACATTTTGTGCACGCGCCGCTGACAGCCCAAGCTCTCGGCGCCGAATGTTGCAGTGCGCAAAAGCTGCATTCTCGTCGCGTTGGTCTGCAAGGCCATCGACAGCAAGCCCGTGTCCAAGACGAACCTCAAGACGTCGAAGCCCGTCTCAAAGGCGGACCTCAAGGCGTGAGGAGGACGAGCTCGAAAATCGATAAGAAGGTACCCGTAGCGTCATTACCCGCCGCCCCCCCGCTGCTGCTGCGACCCTCCCCGCGTCCCGCTCGCCGGGAGCGAGTAGCCGTCGTAGACGTCGGACGATACGAAGCCGCAGGACGCGTCGCGCTTCAGGACGCCGTTGCCCGTCGCGTTGTCGAAGGAGAAGCCCGCGCAGCTCGTCGTGTGGCAGCAGACGAA